AATCTGAAATAAAAGGTTATGCCACTACTGAGAAATAATAAATGGGCTGGGGATTTGCTAGAGGTCTTGAAAAAATAGACTCCTCAGAAATGTAACTAGTAAAGCCTTAATATAATTCTTATACATGCAGACAGTGCCTATGAGGGGAACAGACAGAAAAAGCAAGCACAAATGGATGAAAGTTATTGAAGTGGTCAAATGAGCAGATAAGAACAGGGGGTGTTGATAAAGCCCACATTTCACCTGAGTCAAACCAAAGTACATCTTCAAACTACCTATTTTCACTATCACAAAATACTGAGCTAGAGATTATTTTATTATTTTAAGTGGGGTAAGAACTCCCCACTTAATAAATTAAAACCAAGAACATTGAGCTAGACCTCTCTTCACGAACACTTCCTTACAAGAAAAGAAAGAGTTTAAAAACAGCCTGGCTTATCAAACTTGCCCCAGTAGATGACAGTCAAACATGGTATGCAAGTCAAGAAAAACACCTGCTAGAAAATGGATAATGGAAAAAGATGAGTGAAATACCAGACAGACAAAATTGATTAAGAAACAACAGAATGCACATTAAAAAACTTCAATATTCCAAAGGACAGAAACCCCTCACTTCAGCAGTCAAACACACAACCTCTGCTATTTCAGTTATTTCTACAGTGCTTCTTATAGAAAAAACAGGAAACTGTAAGGTAACAATGCATCAAAAAGCTGTAAGGCAAAAATAACACAGGGAAAAAACTAAAACTACGCTTACTTTAAATTTCTTCCTACTGCTTCTTTATGCCAGCAGCTGTTGCTCAGTGGCAACTACCTCCCAGCAAACACAGCTGCTGTGTTACTGCATGAGAACTATAAAGTGAAACAGAGAAGTGGGAACAATCAATCCAGTTTAACTTTCCCCACTAAATAAAATGCCGACTCCCAAAGAGAAAGCACAGATGGAAAGAACAAAGTTGACACTTTAAAGATTGACATTACTGGAGGTTAAAATTTTCACAGTTCTGCAAACACTCCCTTACCCAGCTTTAGGGATGCACCTAAACTTGTTCAAGTCACTGTGTACATGTGCAGAAGAAAGAATGCATATGTTTATAGAAGAACAGTATATTGATTCATCTGAAAGACAAAAATGTGAGTTTCTATGCCCCATAGTCACTTTGACTTTTAATAAGTAAAAAGCAGCATATTTTCATTTGTATAAGCTAGAAGTTATGTATACAAATCCATGCAATTTTGTGGCAGTGTTCATTACAAGTGTACTGGACCACAAAGAGAAATCTCCAATGGCCATTTTACATGGGATAAAGAGGATATTTTTTCAGAAAAATGTTACTGCCAGGTCAAGCTCTTCTCTGACTCACCATATAAAATCTTCAGCCTGTTCTCCCAGAAAATGAAGTAGCAGTCTTATTTTGTGAAGAGAATAAACTAGTCAGGTGTTGATATTTTACTAATCCAAGTGAACATTATACACAGTTCATCATAACGCTAGTAAGACAGAATCATCTACCCCTATAATTTAGTGTATACCACTATAAAAATAAAAATATAAAGGGGTTACAATTTTGTTGTGAGATTTCATGCCGACAAAGCAGAATTCCTTTTTAGTTTAAGGCTTGCAACATAGACCCGGTGTGATACTGCTCTCTTGTGGTTAAACTCATGCAGTTCAACTGCAAAACCTAACAACTATTTGTATCAATTATTTTAAACTATTTTTAAATGCATTTTAATTTCAGACATTTTTAGCTGATGAGCGGTTTGAAGCAATCAGTGTCAGCTCCACCTCTGCAGACTGTACTGACATGTCTCTGTTATCTAGAGAGAGAATTTAGACTGCTGCTTTTGCTTCTGTGTCCCATTGAAATCAAATGCCTAAAATTAACCTTAAACAAAAGGTAAGAATACATCCATCCCAGTAACAGTGAAAGTCTGAACACTCTTCATAACATACATAAATAATTTGCTTTTAAGGCCTACTTTAGCTTTCCAGGCTGGATGAAAATGTAGGCAGAAATTAAAATGTAAAGAGGTCTAGAAACGCAGCTGGAACAAAAGCAACATGCTGTTGTTCTTTCAATGTGGAAAAAAAAAAAATTATTCAAATTCCCATTGCAGAAGGAGAGGTCCTGCTGACAGGATTATTGGGGGAAATAATGAATATCAAAAGAAAGGCCTTCTGATTATTGTAATCAAAAATTGTAAATAATCCTGCCAAATACTGAAATGTGCCAAATTTCTCTGAAGTAGCAGGACAGCTGTTGCCTTTAGCCTTACTCACAATATAGTTTTAGATATTGCCAAAACTAGCACTGCAATTCAAGACTGAGTTCCTAAACAAAGTGTTTCAAGGCATAACTATGGAGAATGATGTACATTGTTCTAAACCACTGAAACATCTACAAACAGCAAGTCTGTCAAAGACCCTTCCAGATTGTGCCTTTCACATTTGGCTAATTTGCAAGAAACAAAAGCAGAATCATTTACACAAACAGATATGAGCATTGATTCATGTCATATCTCCTTTCATGTAACTCAAATTAGTCTAAAACATCCAATATTTATGACTTCGTAAGATTCTTCCTATTTTTTACAAAAACTCTTCTATATAACTATAAAACACCTATTCTTTTTGCTATACTGTTAATACAGAGTGACTTCAGCTTCATACTTCCAAGTATTTTGAGAAATAATGAAAAATTTCCCTCTTTATATATTGGTAATTTACAGCAGGTATCCTGCTAATTAAGAGATATGCTTTACCTTCTCTGGATGTGCCCAAGCACCCCCATGTCTTTCTTGCAGTGAGGGGTCCAAAACTGTACACAGAACCCAAAGTGTGGCCTCACCAGCCGCCAGGACAGGGGGACAACCACTGACCTGGTCCTGCTGGCCACACTATTCCTGGTACAGGCCAGGATGGCATTGGCCTTCTTGTCCACCTGGACACACACTGGATCATGTTCAGACACTGCTGACCAGTACCCCCAGGTCTTTTTTTGCCAAGTGGCTCTCCAGCTGCTCTGCCCCCAGGTTGTAGCAATGCATGGGGTTGTCATGACCCAAGGGCACTGAGCCTTGTTGAATCTCATAGAGCTGGCCTTGGCTCATTGATCCAGCCTGTCCATGTCCCTCTGCAGAGCCTTCCTACCCTCCAGCAGATCAACACTCCCACACAACAAAATTTTCATCACAAACTGTTCCTGTTGGCCAAAATTGTAGTTAAATATATGAATCCTGGGGAGAACAGAAAAATTGCAAAAGGAGTCTAAAATAATAGCTTGTCAGGAAGAGAAGAAACTGTTGGCCACATAAAGCAACTGATGTAGGGGACAAGAGAAACTACCCTATTGCTTTACACATTTCAGTCTCTCAAAGAAGGAATTCCATCTTGCTTGTCAGTCACATCAGCAGGGCCACAACCCCTGAAATCCCCTGGGTCTAGGAACGCTGATATAAACCAGGAGATTCACAGAATTCACAGAATGACTAGGTCGGAAGAGACCTTCAAGATCTTCAAATCCAACCCATGCCCTAACACCTCAACCAGACCAGACCATGGCCCCAAGTGCCACATCCACTCTCTTTTTTAAACACATCCAGGGATGGTGACTCCACCACCTCCCCAGGCAGACAATTCCAGTACTTTATCACTCTTTCTGTAAAAAACTTTTTATTAATATCCAACCCATATTTCCCTTGGTGCAGCTTGAAACTGTGTCCTCTCATTCTGCCAGTTGCTCCCTGGAGAAAGAGACCAACCCTCACCTGACCACAACCACCTTTCAGGGAGTTGTAGAGAGTGATAAGATCACCTGTGAGTCTCCTTTTCTCCAGGCTAAACAACTCCAGCTCCCTCAGCCATTCCTCACAGGGTTTGTGTTCCAAGCCCCTCACCAGCCTCGTTGCCTCCTCTGGATGTGCTCCAGCGTCTCAACATCTTTCCCAAACTCGAGGCCTCACCAGTGCCAAGTACAGGGGAAGGATGACCTCTCTGCTCCAGCTGGCCACACCACTCCTGATCCAGGCCAGGGACCATTTGCCTTCTCAGCCACCAGGGCACTCTGCTGGCTCATGTTCAGGTGCTGTCACCAGTACCCCAGGTGGCTTGCTCCAGCTCACTGCACTGCAGATACTGAGCGAGATGGAGCCAATTCATAGCCCTTATGTTCACTGGGACTCACCTGCCTTCCTGTCCTCTTCAGCAGGCACCACGTGGACTTCCTTCACTGTCACTCCCTGCTGCTCTTGTACAGCAGAGACCAGAGCAGCAGACAAAAGACAATGAAGAGCTTTGATGGAAGAGGACAAAATTATCAAGTATGGGTTTGAGCTGGATATTCTGTACAGATTTCACAGCAACTATGAAGTTTAGGTAGAGAAAGCAGCAAATGCTTATTTGGGAAGAAAGTGAAGGCCAAACTACTACGGACCAATCAAGGAATGGGAGAATATTATAAAGTTCAAGAATTACTAAATCCAGAAGAAATAAATGCCTAGAGAATTTAATTTTAGAAGCAGAATGTATCAAATCACTTAAGGCCCAGTTTTAGTCAAAAGTTAATTTTTAAAAACAAAATGCAAGTATAGTATTTGCACATTAATTTCTTACAACTGTGCAAATAAAAGTGAGCAGTAAGAGGGGATGCAGCTTTCAGTCTACTCCACATAAATGAGCGGGGAAATAGAAGGCACATGGGATATAAGGGACACACTCAACAGTCTGACAGGATTTAGATTTTATACATCAGGATTATTAGATAAAGGATTCAGTGAAAGCAGCTCCTGTAAGCAGTGGATCATTTGTAAATAAGTGGCTTCATTACATACTCTGGTAGGAAATAATACAAGCTGTTCTTTAATTAGTTTTAGAAAAAGCCATTTAAGAACTTGTCTAATATGATATGTCTAATACCATCTGATATGATGTCTAAGGAATATTATTGTCTAATAAGATACAAAAGAGTCTTCAACACAAAATGCCACTACCACACGCATTTACAGTATAAAGAGAATTTTATTTTGTACACTCTTGTGAACAAAACTGAGTTCAGATGCACATGCCAAGATAGGAATTAATATTTACTTACATATGGAATTTAGACTGTGTGCAAGCAGATCTCTCTGCAAGGTCTTTTTTACCTCAGAATGCAAATCCCTCATATTACAGGCATTTAATAGATGACCTGCAGTTTCTTTACAGCACAAAGTTCCACAAACATGAAAGTTAATCTCCTGACCCAAAATAAATTAGAAAACTGTTTGCACATGGAATGAGTTGCATCAGCAAACTCCTAAGAAAACCAAGACAACTATGCCAATCTCGTGAAAAGGAATTACCATTATCTACAGTAGTTGTAACACAGTAACAAAAAGTTTACACTTCCTTGTTATTTACACTGGAGTGCAAAGAGAGCATACATCAGCTCCCACAGCAATGAATCTTTGCTTTACCCCTACACACACACTGCTTTCTTGAATTTCCCAGGTTCCAAAGACACTGCTCCATAGCTATACAATTGCTTCTCTCAGTTCTGTGCTTCACACCACATTCAAAAAGCACCACATCCAAAAGTTTGGCTACTGAGAAACCAAAGAGAAGAGAACACTGCAGCACCCAAACTTCAACAGCATAAGAGAGGTATGTTCTAGAACAACATGTTACAGCACCTTACAGCAGTTTCAAAGTGGACCCACCACTTATAGACACTGAACTTTCCTTGGAAGTCTCCACTAAATATGAGCTCTCGCTTTCCATGCTGGTACCTGCTTAACTCCATCAGTTCTTGTAAGGCTGGGTTTTGCATTTGGCTTCATACTCCAGCGTCCAACCTGAGGAGCAGAGATGAAGTTAAAACTATACCCAAGAAACTGAATTAGAAGATATTTACAAGAAAAACATTTTGGAAGAGTTGTTGCACTTTTCTCAACATAGAATAAAATAGTAAGTCTGTGCAATTGGTTTAAGTATATTTATTCTTCAAAACACTCAACAGTTAACAGTTAGAGGCCTGGTTACACACTCATAAGAATATTTTGCTTTAACCAGAAAAATTTGATCTTTTTGTATCTACTCCTGAACATGCTGGCCTTAAGCAGGACCTCCAGGACTTTATAATACAGCTGTCAGATCCTGGAACAAAAACTATTCCATATACAAGCTGTTCCAGGAGCTATTTTTGATCTTTGTATCTAGAATCAGGTATGTCAGCTATGCACATTGCAATAGTCTGCAGCATCCAAAATGCAAGCATGGTTATTTTTCAGACATTTTAATTTTTCCTTTGGGGGAAAAAAAAAGTTGAAGAAATTTATTAGGACTGCACCAGAACTGTTGACACACTGCAGTCTGTAAAATACAAGCTACATTTAGCTTTGAAAATCCTTGTAGCAGCTGAAATAAATTTTAAAAAATCAAATCAAATCATCTAGAAAGAGGAACACATACACATTAATTTCCTTAAGTTTTCAGCCACACAGCTAGTCACATGTAAGAGCAGCTTCCAAAGAATATTTAAGAATATCTGGATTTCCATTGTATGTTCTGCATTACTATTCCCTTCCATTAGGCCAACAAATGCCACAGGCCAAATCTTTTATCTCACTCTTATGATAAAAAGATAGAATTGCTAAGCAGAGAGATGCAGTTTAAATTCATTAAATTAAAGTAATCTATTTCTATCCATCCCATCTGAGTAGTTCTGAGGTTTGTGGAAATGCCTAACAACCAGCCAAACAACAGCAGCACTGGACTGTATAAACTGAGGTAGCTGGCACATGCTGATATGCAGAAATCAGTGCTCAGAATCACCTTAGTCCAATGGCTCTGTCTGCCACTTCTTTATTCCTAGGAAAAACTGTATTCTTCTTGGGCTTTACAACAGAATCACAACTCATTTTGGATAAAGATTCAAACTGTGTGGAAATCACACGCAAAGGAAAGTATTACAGACTACGTACTTATTTTCATTTCTCAACACTTAGGTTGTATTAGTCAGAACTTTCTGTACCTTCCTAACAACCTTATTTAAAAATTCAGTCCATAACTATTTAAACACACAGTTTCTATGCATGGGTACCTGCACCAGGTACCATCAAGCTGCAAGGTCTACAGTTCAATCAACTATGAGCTGAATCTTTTTAATCAGTCTTCTAAGACTTTTTTCTTTACACATCTAGAATTGCATTTACCAGTCTAAATCCACCCAAATTAATTTGAGATTTTCTGCTTTGATTACACTTCAAACAAAGTAAAATGTAACTAAGCTGATGATGAGCTGATGGCTAAAAAAATTTTAGAGAAATTCTAGGCTTGTGAAAACTCTGCAACCATCCATGAAAACAGAAGTCAGCTCAAGAATACAAACACAGATTCTTATATAAAAACATACCACTGGCACCTCAGGACTAGAAAATGGAGAGCTATCAAAAGAATTATTTTCTTTGTCCAGAGAATCATCATCTTCATCATTTCCATGTGCAAATTTCTGCTTTAGAGCATGAGTTAGTAGAGCAACCGGATCCCAATCTGAACTTTGTGTCTTTTTGGGTCTAGAAAGAGGAGTACCTCCAGGAGACCTATGAAAAACAACAACAAAAATTATTGTCTCCTGACACTAATCTTGTGCTGACCAATCCAAAATCTAGAGACACAACTTCTGTAAACACCCTATTCTATAAACCCCTGATTACACAAGTAATGCTGCTGTAATTTTAAAGCAATTCATCAATAAAACTGACACAGTTACACCCAACAAGTTGTCAGCATTCCTAGCCTGAAAACGCAACTTGATGCTGTTCCATGGAGAAAATTGGAAGAAAATTAACACAAGGTGTTAAAATATTACAAATAACAAGAAAAAATAAAAAAGGCAAAACTGTAGGTTTTATATGAAGTCATTTGGCAAGTCATAATTAAGTATGTTAATGGGAATGTCCCACTAAGGTATTTCATAATCATTGTGAACACAATTTAATTTAGATTTTATTCATTTTAAGTTCATTTAAATTCAGAAATCAAAACAGCACCTACACCCCAAAACTTACCATAAATGTGGAAGCTAGTCCAAAACAACAAATCATAAGACTTTCTAACCATTAAGATATCTTGGGTGGGGTGGAAAAATCTAGAGGTGCTCAGAGTTCTGCTAGTAAAGTGCTGTCTGTGGGCTGATGATTTGTACCTAATAATGCACACTGACAACACCAAGTTCTAAGTCTGGCACTTACAGTAAATGTTGCTTAACACAAAATCTGAGAGGACTGACTTCACAGTCCCTATAAAAACAAGCCCTCAGAGCACTTGCACAATTTGAAAGACAGTGTTTGGGTGGTAGAAACTGGGATCCTCAGGCTCTCAATTTCTGAGAATAGTAGACTTCCCTATGCACTGTCAGAAAGACTGTAACAATTTTGATCATCACTACTCTCTCCAAAATCATAAATTATTCATTATTCAGTTAAGTTCTACTTCAGAATTCATGCCTAAATCCAGAAAGCATTTTGGATGTACAAGCTACCACTTATTATGCCCCAGCTCAAGACGTTAAAACTGTCAACCTTGGGTTGACACTTAATTTTCTTCACTTACCATACATGGAATTATAGAGAAAAAAAAACATATAAAAAGGAAACACACAGGTTTACCTAAGAGCTTTTTATATTGGCTTTATTTACTGTGAGAATGTCATCAAAAGCATAAAGCCATGCTTTAGATTTGCATTTAAATTTTTTGCCCAGGTTTTGTGCTAGTTATTTTCAGGGATAAAGCTCACAGTTAAGAAAATGTTGAAATAAGAATGCAGTTAAGTTTTGCCAAGCGACATTCTTCCCACACCAAGAACTTCAAATATTCATTACAGGCTCAGTTTTTCTTACTTTTTCAATCCAAGAAGTTCAGAAAAGAAATCTGAAGGTGTAATCTCTATTATACCTAGCACAGCAGAGACCAGAAGAGGTGTTGCAGTATTTATTAAATAATTTGTTTTACAAGTCAACTGCACTTACCATCAAAACAGCTGACCACTAAAAACATTTATAATCCAACTGCACTACTGAAATGCAAATTTATGAAGCACTTTCAGTAAATGATACAGCACATGTTCTTGTTAACACTTCAAAGCTTGAAGCAGGGTATTTTGAGTATGCTAACAGTAATTTTCTAAAGTTTCCCTAAGGATTTGGCCTTTCACAGTGAATCCAGAAGGGTTATGCCTTCAGATCAGTTTCATGTGCCTGTGCATGCAACCTCCCCATGCCAACCTGAGACTTACATGCTGAAGCAGCAGAGTAGTTTAAAATGCTGCAATAGTCAGCATGCGTTAAATGCATCTAAAAGCCGTGTCACAAGTATCTTACATGTCATGCTGTGAACTCAGAAGTTGCCAATTTCAGTTTGTCAGCAGTAGCTGCTCTTTGTGTGACTGGTGTTCTCTGGTGCTACAGAAGTGCTGTTGATGCTCAGGTAGCCTTGGCTTGCCGAGATCCAATCCAACCTACCTCTCAACAGCTCGCAACTGAACTTTGTTCAGGTCTTTCAAAACATCCATCATACTGGGAATGTTCTTTGTCCTCTGGTGATCAGTACTGTCAGCTACAGTTGAAACACTGTTTCTTGCAGCTCGGCGTTGTTTGATCAGTTCCAGTGCAGAATTACTAGCATCAACACCAGATGGTGCACCAGAAGGAAGTGGAGGAGGCGAGGGAATTACAAAGTGATTGTGAGAGACGGACAATGGCGTAGAAGTCATGGCTGGCAGTGGGTAAAATCCATCTGGAGTGCTGAGTGTTTTAAAGGCTTCTGCATACAGTTAGAGAAGAAAAACAACAACATGGTAAGACTGCCCTCTGCACTTTTTTAGACACCTTGCACACTACAACACAGAAGAATTAAACTTAAAATAAAGAACATTATTTTAAACCCACAAATGCAGAATACAAGAATGAATCTGAGGTGTCTTGTACTGCTTTGATTTTCTCTTCTTGTGTCTGGGCACTAGAAAAATCAGCAAAGCAGCCTGCTGCTACATACAGTGATCAATGGTCTAGAGGTTACAATAACCTACATGAAACAAAAGGTAACCAAGAAACATGCAAAACAGATTACAATACTGAGTGCAATGGAAAAGAGAGAGAGAAGACCCAACAGAACAGCTGAATCACAAGTACCTCACAATGCCACAAAAAAGTAACTACCTCGCACCAGTCCAAGTATTTCAGCAACCACAGTGGGGCTGGTCTGCAAGTAAGACAACTGAGACTTAAAACTTCTCAGGAAAAAAAGAGGTCACAAGATAGAAGTGCATGTTGGAGACCAACTATCTAAGACACATCTGTTTGCAGCATTTGTTTTTGTTAAAGCCCCAACCTGACTGACATAGAACTCTTCTTCTACCCATTATTTTAGTAATTGTTTAGAAACAAGTAATAGTCTGTAACTTTTTTAAGCAGTTATTAGTAGCCTATAGATAATGATGTTACTAAGCTCCTTCACCAACATGGAAATGAGTATAAAGAGTACTTAGGATCAACTGCATTTGAACTTGGCAAACAGACCACAAAATAGAAAAGAGAAAGCACACAATATAGCAAAAACAAAAACAAAATATTATATTCAGTAAATTTAGTTGGTGTATCTTTTATAAATTTAGTGTATCTCCAGTTAGAAAAATCAAATATGTTCTCTACCAACATCAGACACAGCAAGCTCTAAAGCAAAAAAAGGAACAGTGGTTTGCTTCAAACCAGAAGTGCTTACGTGAGGGAACGCTTCCCAGGGTCTGCACTGAAACAATTGCAGCAATCTGAGCACGAAGAAAGGTCAGCTCATCTTCAAGTGCAGAAATTTTCTGGAGCGCTGTTTGATCAACACTGTCCTTTTGCACACTGTTTTTCGGAATGCTCTGTATTGAATCCAGACATGGATGTGGATCAGGAAGAGCTGTACTTTTCTCTTTTCTCCTCAATTCAGTCCTAAAAAGCAAAAAAAGACACAGTTTCAAAAGACTCAGCCAACAGTGGAAACCTCAAGACCACTCAGGTTGTTCAAGCAAGTGATCCTCATTCAGCAAGATCTAGCTTTTCCAGCTATTTAAAGAAACTAAACTTTTAACTACTCATAACATTTGAAATGTTTGAAGTCTCCCTTTGCTCAAGTATAATGCAGATCTTTGCAAAGTCATCATAAGAATTAGTCAGATAATTCACTTAGGGAGAATTAAACATCATAACAGTGAGATTGTAATTATTCAGTAACTATTAGACTGACACCATAAGGTGTCTCTCCCTTCTTGCCACATGAGTATGAAAGGCAGGAGAGTCAAAGAATAATGATCTCTTAATTATGCTTCAGAAATTTCAGTCATTTATCAAACTCTAAGATGAAGACTGCAAGCAGCAAAGTACTTACAATCTTGAAAATAATAAGGTTTAATACAGATTTATAGAACAACAATCTCACCTTCTGTAAGCTACTATAATCAAAGCCAGCAGTAAAAGAAAATTGTGCTTTAAGTCTCAGGTTTTAATTTTAAAAATTATTTCAAGTCTGTGCCTGCAGAAATAAACTTAAAAATATAGTATAAACAAACTACCAGAATTTCATAACGAAACATGGAAAGAAATTAAATTTACCTGATTCATTAAGATGCACTAAACTTTGATTGAAAAAAAGCCCAGACCTTCTCCCTTATTTTAAACATCCTTTTACTTCAAATCAGACCTGAAGCATTGCTTTCTGATTTGCCAAAACCCCCTTGCTATAAACACTGCTTAAGAAGGGAAAGATATCAATTAGAATAGTTGTTCTTGAAAAACATCCCAGAGAACCAGAAGAGGAGGGGGAGCAAAAAATGGAAACAACGAAAGAATGAACTGTCACAGTTCTGTGAATCTGACCAGCTTAAGGACAGCACAAGCAGGACAGGATTTTTTTGTTCTTTCAACCATCTTCTTGTGCTTCTGCTATTTTACAGCTGTTACAAACAAACTTTAATAATTTAACAATAATGCCTCAGGAAACATAAGATGAAACAAACTGTATCCAACTTCTCCAATGAAAAGCGTGTCATCTGAATTCATCAGATTTCTTGTCTTTTCATTACTGGTAAGCAGCACAAAGATCACAGACAATATGAACTAATACCAATATGAAGAAGAATTATACTGTCCTATACAAATGCAGTACAAGATAAGTGTCCACATTTTAATCTTGCTTCTGACTCTAACTCATTTTTTGATTTTGAACAGATCTTCAGAGGAACAGCAAGAAAACTTACTATTTCTTCTTCAGTGGAAAAAAAAAAAGACAAAACTTGTATACTATTTGTGCCTGCAAATTCCTGGACAACTTGTCATTTCACAGTACCTGAAATATTTTGTAATTTGTAAAAATATGTTCCTTCAACCCTCTAGAAAAGCTAGAAATGTTTATATAAACCATATTGAAAATTATTTATTATACAAACTATATTGAAATTTATTTAGATTTTTTTTAATAATTATGTTTGTTTTTCCATCAAAGCAACTGTCAAGGCTTACACATGGCATTGTCAAAATCAAAGCTAAAAGGAGACATTTAAATATATTTTTCTCGTTTTCCCATTTATAAAGTTTATCAAAAAGGTTGTAAACTAGAAGGATAAAGATAGGAATAATCTTACAGCATAGTGCAACAACCAGCTCCCTCCCTCACAAAATACTTCGTGAGTGAAAATCATTTAATGTACCAGTAATGCACCTGACATACTACCATGAAGAGAAAAGAGGAAATTCAATTTCAGAAATCTTCCAGAAAAGAATGCTTTACATATTAAGAATTTTCAGGTAAAGAGGAAGTGCACCCCCAAAAAAAGCCCAAAATGTTTCCAGAAAAGGTTAGGAAAAAAGGAAAACAAACACAAAATCACACACCATAAAGAAGGCAAAAGTTGTTTCTAGTACTCCTTTTTACACTTCTACTTACCTAAATCTAGTACATCCTTGTCCTTCATCATTTGCCACCCAAAGGACATCAGCAAGTGATGGAGCCACAGCAGCTGGAGTTGCACTTTGCTCATCATAACCCAATGGACCTGGGTCTCGAACAAACTAAAAACAAACAATGCCAAAGAAAGGTATGAAGGGAAACTGGATTCAGCACACACTGAAGGTTCTGCCTCAGCAAAAGAAATGTTCAAACAGTGCTGTAAGGAAGTTGAAAACAGAGAATACATGGAATGCACCACACAATTACACAGGCTAAAAAGAAGAGGAAAGTTACCATCAAATTAAGAAACAAGAAAATACGAACAGGTGAAGTATATATATGACAATAAATTGCTTACTTGAAAACAAGGTCTGGGATAGGGCTCCAAGGAAAGAATTGTCCCAAGTCTACGAACAATACTTCGAGTAGATCCATACTCCTTTTTTTGGCAAACAGATATGACCTAAAAATCAGAAAAACTTTGAACCTAAGGAGCAAAATCAAAGCCCTTGGTTCTTAATCTCACTCTAATCAAAGTTATATTATTCCATGTTACAGGCAATTAAATATAATGCAGTTTAGTTAACCTAACTTTTCAATGCTCTTCTCAAGCTGAAAGTCCAAGGAGGCCTATACTGGTGTGATGGACAGTGCCTAAAACACTGCCAAAATACAGAATATTTTAAAGAGGCACAAAGGCAAATATCTTGAGGTACTGGCAAAAGTGGCCACTTAATTAACTACACGCATCTGTATAATTCTTGAGGAAGAACAATTACAAAGTGAAATAAATTTAACATACCTTGGCCCGATACTTCCTTATGACAGCATGTAACTGCTGGAAATGCCTTCCTGATGAGACTGCTGAAGGAAGGCATGTTCCGAGAGTACGACTGATACTTCTGCCAAACAAGGGAGTTTCAAAAAACACGACCTGTCAAAAAAACCAACAGCTTCCAACAACGGAACCAGAAAGCAAACAGGGCAGCTCAGCCAAACCAGCATCCTGGAGATACTCTGGCAGTTTCCCATAAACAAGGCGAGCATTGTCTCAGGACCACAAGCTGCGGCAGTGCCTCACTGCTGACAGCCCCCACTGAGGAGCTGCCCACAAGCTCCAACATCAGCGCCTCGTCCGGCTCCCCCCGCCGCACCTTTCCCAGCTCTCTGGACACACGGGATTAACTATCCCTTGGGAAGGGCTACGTAGTCTTTTATCTGAAACAGCAAAGCACCAGCAGCCAGCATCACTGACTCTCTTACGCTCAGTTCAGGGCAAAAACAGCCACTTGAGAGAGCCACGGCCGTGTCCGGGCACCGACGCCACACGGCCCCACGTGCGGGCAGCGTGTTCCGACAAACTCGGCTGCGGGCAAGAGGGCGCTGAAGCCGCCCCACCGCCCGCGGTGCCCACCTTCCCTCCCTCCCTCCGCCGAGCCACGCGGCTGCAGGCGAGACGCACCCGCCGGAGCGGCTCTCCGGGCGGAGGCGGTGCGGCGGGGTCTCACCTGGCGGTGCGGCCAGCCGAGGTAGCGCAGCAGCCGCCGGAGGAGCTGCAGCAGCA